CATACACTAATCTCGGAGAAAAGTGCTCTTTCCATATTTCACGCATTTTCTCTCGTAATAAATTCACTATGTAGAGTGGGTTTTTGCCCAACATTGAGTAATGTCCGAGAATTCCTGTGGTCAAAGAGTGTTAAAGAGTCAGAAGCTCCTTTAACTCTAAGCCAATGACAACATGAGTCTTGTATGAGTGGACGATTCTAACACTAACATCCTCCGTAGTTTTGTAAAATGGGCGGTTTTGTGGAGAAACAGTTCAACTGATATACTATCCCACCAACATCTATCAGATTATCTTATCCTCCATAGTCAGTGGAGACTGATTCCCACGGAAGTCCAACTCGTAAGAAGCGATAAACCCACAGGCCTAGGTGACTTGATCCATGGCCATTTTAAGAATGGTGAATAACTTCTGACCAGGTAAACGACTAAGTTGTTTGCAAACGTTTGTCAATTAGCGACTGTTCCAACGCCTTGTAATGAGATTACATTCGTCACAATCTTTGGAAACGGTCTACGTCACCTATGCCACAACTATAGGAAGATAAGTCTATTTCGGATCGCGTTCAAATTATTGACCATGTCTACACCCTTTGTATAATACTAGAACACCTTCGTAGTTATTACAGACCAACAAATGTTGTGTTTCTTGAAGTCAAGGCTGCCTCCGATTCATTAGACAGGACTTCTCTCTGGGTATGCCTGAGGAGTTTAATAACATATTGAAGTTTCTGTATCAAAATATCATATTAGCAGTGTGGAGGTTCAGTAACATATGTCTGAGCACAGTGACGATAAATCAACTGGTGTCATCATTTAAAAACACTGGCTTTATTGAATGGAACATGTACGTCAAATGTTTCAACCAATTTCATATTTTCCCGGAACTGTGATTGATTGAAAAAAGGGGAGTGTTGGTCAGTGTACGATATAGTGTCGCACTTTGAAAGAAGGTTGTATAGGACTGTTATTTGTCGGCAATTTACGATTCCCTGGTTGGAGTGCTAGAAAATGTGCAAAACAATGGCTTGAGATGTTATTGGATATGTCTCAGAATAGAAACCACTTGCACTCCTACCGCAGTTTTCATTACTTTCTTTGTGGAAGTGGAAGAAACTTCTTTAACTAAAAGGATTCATTGAGGTAGTAACGAAACTGCTCTCATTGATTTATGTATTTATTTTGGTGTCCTTTTGTACTGATTCCCATGTATTTAAGTAAATAAATTCACGACTTGTGATGTTTTCCTAACTAATCATTAAGTTGAATTCACGAGTCAATCTAAACAAGACTACCATTGAAAGCCTGGAATCATTGGACAGCTGTTTCGTCCTGGTATAGAAGTCTCCAGATGTATGAATCCACGATCCTACACGTGTTACTCGAACATAAGATCTTCAGTTTCGCGCGCGAACACTTAACCTCTAGAATGAAACGGTCTTCCAGTGCTTTCATGTTTTTAGGAGGGGTTCAGATTAGATCGACTCGTGAATTGAACTGTTAAAAATATCACACTCATCATAAATCCTCTTACTAATAATTATTTTAAGTGTTTGCAAAATCCACAGATAAACGAGTTTTTATCTTTGTTAAGATCAAAGTGTTTTAAATTGTGAAATAAATTGGCGTTAAGTTTATTGTCTTCTTATTAATCTAATGTAAATCACAATGGTGTTTCCCTGTTCCAAAATACTTAGTAGCCTCATAGTTACAAAAGTTCCAATATTTCACACCTAGTTCATTTGACTGAAACTAACCAACTGTTAAATACAAATCGAAGAACAATATTCATCACTAAACGTTCGGTAAAACAAATAAATAAATAAGTACAAATACAAAAAATTAATCTGGTTGGCGATTTTTGAACAAGATTTTCTTCTACGGGATGGGGTTGCCGATCTCATACCCAACCCTCCTCCGGGTTGGAGACTGGCAGTAACTCAAGAAGAGCTACAGGCGGAGTCAAACAAGACTATCTTCTCTCCCCCTTGCTTTTTTTCTGATGGTTGACTGGATAATGAAGATCTTAACATTTCGAGGTAAAGACGGAATGCAATGCAGAGCTTGGATACAACTAGACGGTTTGGACTTTCCAGATGACCAAGCCCTCCCATTCCATACACAAGAATAAATGCAGATGAAGGCGACTAGTGTAACAGCGGCTTTTACATCAGTAGACCTCAACATATACTAAAGAAAAAGCAAGATCCTCAAACACAACATGAAGAACACCAACCCATTTACACTTGATAGTGAGACTCTGGAAGATGTGGAATCCTTCAAATACCTGGAAAGCTTCATCGATGAACATGGAGGATCAGATGCAGGCGTAAAGGCGAGGATTCGCAAGGCAAGGGCCTCATTCTTACAGTTGATGAACATATGGAACTGAAAACAACTGTCAAACAATATCAAAGTCAGAATTTTCAATACGAATGTCAAAACAGCCCTAATGTACGAAGCTGAAACCTGGCTAATTACTACAACCATCATCAGGAAGGTGCAAATATTTATAAATAGTTGTCTACGCAAGATACTCAACATCCATTGGCCGGAGACCATCAGCAACAGTCTATTGTAAGAGAGAATAAACCAGCTTCCAGCTGAATAAGAAATTAGGAAATGGATAAGACATACATTACGGAAATCACCAAACTACATCACGAGGCAAGCGCGCACTTGGAACAATGAAGGGAAACGGGAACGAGAAAAGCTGAAGAACACACTTTGTCGAGAATTGAAAGCAGACATCAAAAGAATGAATAGCAACTGGAAACAGCTTAGAAGGTTTGCCCAGGACAGGGTTGGATGGAGGGTGCTGATGGGTGACCTATGCTCCTCCACGAGGAGTAACAGGAGTAAGTAAGTAACAAACCTTTAAATACGAATATTAGGCAATATTAGGACGAATAAGCAAAGATGATGGTGGTTAACACCGTAATCAAGGACGCATATTTCGTCCTATTTGGGACTCGCCAACTCAATGTAGATGCATTCTAGAGTTGATGTTCACCTTAGGACTGATCCGAGGATCAGCCAAAACTGATCATTTACAGTCTTAGACATCATTAAGAAGATTCAACTAATCAATACAACAATGAATTAGACCAAATAGTTTGACAAAATTTGTGCTCCAAGTAGTATAGTAAAGACATTATTTGTGAAGTTTATATTATAAGAATTCCAAACGTTTCGTCCAGCAAACTTGCCTAGAATTCTTCAGGATAATAATCTGAATCAAAATTATCACAGAAATATTCTTCAAGTAACTGCAAGGAATTTTATTTAGTTTTCTAATTCATATTTCATATAGAAATATAAATTCAACGACATAGAAACACACACAAATCGTTTGGAAGTATTTCACAGGTAAAAAATATTTGAACAGCTGATTTAAGGGCTAAAAGAGAGGTTTATTATTTATTATATTCTAATTAATAACTGATGTAGAATTTTCACCGATTGAAATCGTGAGTTAGTTGAAGCTAGACCACCATGGAAAACCTAGAAGCACTGGATGGCCGTTTCGTCCTAGTACGGGACTCCTCAGTAGTGCGCATCCACGATCCCGCACCCCGCGAGATTCGAAACCAGGACCTATCAGTCTCGCTCCAGGCGCTTTACCAACTAGACCACTGAGCCGACCAGCATCCAATGGTGTTAATGTTTAACTTCAACCAACCCACGAAATTACGCAACCATCTTCCATTGTACTGAGGTAGACACCTGTTTCTACCTGACACGGATTTGCTCCACTGGTCACAGCTTCTCACCAGAACTCTGAAAATTTTCTCTTGAAGCTAGTCACCAGTGAGCACATAGTAATTATCAGTTTAGGGGTTGTGGAGATTGTTAATTGTTTGATTGAGATCATGGGTCATTTGAAGCTAGACCACCATGGAAAACCTGAAAACACTAGACGGCCATTTCGTCCTAATATGGGACTCGTGGATACGCACTGCTGAGGAGTGGTGGTCTAGCTTTAATTGACTCATGATTTCAATCAATGAAATTTCTAAAAATCTTCACAAAACCCCTTCTGATGTAGAATTGTTTAGATATAGATAAAGATTTCATTTCATTTCCTAAAGAGATCAGAATGTAAGGACCGCCTTAAATTATACAAAAATAATAACGAAAAACTACGTTATCATCATTTGTTGATGTGAATTGTACTAAATCGATCAATCGATCAATCAATCAATCAGTTGTGACCTTTCATCAATTTACAAAGAACACAATATTGAAGTAGTTAGGTTGTAACCTATACAAAAGGTTATCATTATTAGAACAGCATATATAAGTGAACAGTATTGATATCGATTAGATCCTTATCAGGCTTTACTCTAATGCACAGTCATGTATTTATTATGTATATACGAAATTAATTAAACTAATCAAAGAAGTTTATCCATCAATGATGATAACAGTGGAATAGATTACATAAATGAACATAGTGAGTTAGTAAAAATTGGTAGTGTGATGATATTAACGGCTAATAAGAAACCTCTCTTCTTAAAGTTGCAATTCAATCAAGATGTAACCAGTAAAGAGAATGTTTAACGCAGTCAACCTCTGTCTAGTGTACTTGACCCAATCTATGGTGATTCCTCAGCTTTGTTGCTCCATCACGATAGGCAAGCCCGGCCACCGGGTCAAGGTAGCAACAACGGTTGAGAGAATACCACGTGGGGACAATCAAATGTTTTTGAGCACAAAATTACAGAACTTCTTAGTAAAATCTGAAAATCATAGACAACAATTCATTTGCAAAATGCTAATCAATTATCTTAGACTTCATTGTTCTTTCATTTCCACATTAATCAATCACTGTTCTCGTTGCCTTATCTTAGATCTTTTTAACCTTCTGTCATCAGGCATTTCACTACTGATTGATTGTACATACTACTTATATCTATCAACATCAGTAGCATATACCATACTACAATGGGGTTTACTGAGAAAAAACATTTAAAATATAAACTAAGGAAGAAACAACAATGTCAATGTATAAAAATAGATTACATTTCAATGTAAAACAAAGTTTATTGTAAACAATGGTCACATGAATCTGATATAGTCAATTGACACCAATGTATTTCATTATAACATTTTCACTATACAATTCAGGCAATTTACTTGGTAATGAAAGATAATACCCATGTTTACCAATAGTTATGATGTAATCATAATTTTAGATATAAATATACATGACCATTCTATAGTTTTAGTATATAACCAAACACCAAACATTGGTCCAAACCAATATACAATTATATGATTCATTGGTTTAATATTACCAACACCCCAGGATTGAATAAATGCATTGGCTGGATTTAAATACATTCCTGTCCATTCAAGACCTGGAGTGAATAAGATAAACAAGTAAACATTAGTATAATTGAAAAAAGATGTACTTTGTTTCTATGTATATATGACATTGCAATGTGTGCTACTTATATCGACATAAGTAGTATACAACGCTAGTTAGGAATAGAATGTTTGGCATCAAAACGTTAAGAAGATTGAAGAGGAAAGAACAGGAAGAGAAAGCAATTGGTATTGAAATGCATGGACAATGAAGTCTGAGACAATTGATGAAAATTTTGCAAATGAAGTATTGGAGTATGGTGGCCTGCTTGAGCATCTGGGCTACCTGTTCCTGCCATCTAGATATTTCAACAAGTTATCTATTTTTGTTTGTTTTAATATATCGTTATGTCTATTAATGGCATAACCTATTCTGCTGCGTTTCTGAAAAGTGTACAACCTTTCGTTGTCAAAGTTACAAAAAACTCAATAAGAGACAATGTGGTTGCTGGAAATATACAACGAAAAAAATGTCCATTTGCTGGACTGTTAACATCGAACTGGCGATCACTACTTATATTGACATAAGTAGTATATGATGTTAGTCGTAAACAGAAGGTCTGGCGACAGAGAGACAAGAGGATCGAACAGTAAACAATGGAAACAGAATGCAATTTGTATGAAAATGGAAGGACAATGAAGTCTGAGTGATTATGAGACAAATCAAGCATTTACTTTATGATTGTTAGATTTTATTAACAAGTCGTGTAATTTTGTGTTAAATACATTCGATTGTCCCCAACCGTGTCTTGTTCACTACAGTATGTGTTACATATAAAGCTTAGGTTCTTGCTATACCGCGTACTACTTGGGCACTCGAACGCTAGAACACTCCCAAGTAGCGAATGATGTAAATCGAAGAAGAAGAAGAAGAAAATACAGAGCATTAGAAATAACAACAGGATTGGACCAATGATGGAGTATGTAAAAGATAACTCAAGGGAAATGTGTAAATGATGTATTTAATGTATGATTTTCATATTTTATAAGAACACTGTGTAATTTCGTACTAAACAGTACATTGATTGTCTCGCTATGTCTCCAGCTGTTACGCCTGTAGTTGAATAGACCCAAAAAGCATCGGATACATTGTTCATTTCACAGTCTTGTCTGATATCTTCAAATGTCAAGTCCTACTATTTAGAGAACGTACATACAAACGCGTATAGAATTCAAGTTAACCTTTCGTGAATTCAAGTTTTTGAGTCATTTATATTACTGATTGAAATCATGAGTCAATTGAAGTTAGACCACCATGGAAAACCTGAAAGCACTGCACGGCCGTTTCGTCCTAGCATGGGACTCCTCAGCAGTGTGCATCCACGACCCCGCACCCCACGAGATTCGAACCCAGGACCTATCAGTCTCGCTCCAGGCGCTTAACCAACTAGAGCACTGAGCCAGCATCTAACAGTGTTAATGTTTAACTTCAACCAATCCACGAAGTTGCGCCACCGTGGTGGTCTAACTTCAATTGACTCACGATTTCAATCAGTGAAATTTCTAAAATCTCCACAAAACCCCTTCTGATAATTTAGTTTAGACAAAAATTTACCTAAGAGTAACAATACTTTGACAGAGATGAGATATCTTCTTCATAAGTGAAATTTGTGTTAAAAAAACAACACAACTATACTTCAAGATACTTGAATTGTAGTTATTGATGGATGAAAGTCAAGTGAAATTCATCTCTGTTAAACTTCAGGAATTCAATTTTCCACTCATTTAAAGACCGGATATACCTTATTATCATTGTTAGAAATAATTAGTACTAGGCTTCAAAGCCCAATAGACGTAAATTAAGGAAATGCTTCAATTGAAAAATGTCATAGATCAAAAAACTTATTATTAAGCGTCATTTAAATTATTGAATTCCATATATTTCATATAACTAATTGATCTTATCTAAATAGACATTGAAAGCCAGGAAGTACTGGATAGTTGTTTTGTTCAAGTATGAGACTTCTCAACGGTTCTCATCCCTAACCCCATTGAGGATTGAGTTCAAGACTATCTGCGTGTCGGGCTATAGACGAATATCAGGAATTAAAATGAGTGATGACCGGCGAATATATAAAATTGCTCGAGGCTAAACACGTAAACCACTTGTTATCGACCAAATGTTCTGAAGTTTAAGCACTCATTGAGACATACGAAGGTCCCTCATTCGACCCCTGGTTGAACCATGGATACGCACCGTTGGGGGCTTTGATACTAGAAAGGAGCTGCCGTTTAGTGTTTTCTGGCTTTCAATAGTTATCTGATTAACATTAGTCCATTATCTGAAGTATAAACATGATCACTGTAAGTCCATTGTAGTAATTATTTTGAATGTGAATAGATAATAACTGGTTTCTTAACTCATTGAATAAACAAGGATTTAGTGACAGTACGTTATATTTTCAACATCATAGAACAAAAGTCATTACTCCACATCACGTTTTATTTACCAATATAATCTATCAGAAAAAGGTGATATGACAAATCATTTGAAGAATATCAAATAGCTAAGCTTAGTCGACAAGAAGCTTTGATTCGTCTAGGTTAACAGCTCATTGAAATTCACCAGCAAGGCATATTTGAAATCATTAAAGAAATTGGTGCTTCCTGGGAGATTCTCATTCACATCACTCAGCTTCATAATGTAAGAGGTTACATGTGGGCAATTTTATCATAATTTGAGCACATGAAAGAGAATAATAAATTAGCAAATTCATTAGATTGTAAGATACAACTTACCATAAGCTATCAATGTAAGAATAATCAATAATCTTACAATATAAGAAATAATAAATTGTTTCCGCGTTAAATCACAAGAATTCGACACTTCAGATACTGTCGATTTAATTGAATTTGCAGAAGATGCTGTTTGTGAAGCATATTTAAGACATTGTGAATTCCAACATTCTAATATACATGAAAATAGACTATTCAAGTATAAGTCCATAAAAGTTACAACCGCTTCACATAAGAATCCAATACTGACTACAACTTGTAAATCTGAATTGTAATTCATCAACGTTTGAGGATTTAACATGTTTAATGCTAATTCATAACGTGCTGAATGATAGACAGTTAATTGTAATGACCACCAGTATACACATAATTTAAGTGCTATCGATGCAGATAGAAGTTGTAAAGTCCATGTGAAAATCATCCATATTGGTTGTGTTTGACCAAGTAAGAATCTTCAATATAGAGAAAAAGATACAAATTATAATTATAAACTAATTTAGATTAGAAAATCACTGAAAATCAAGAATTATTATACAGTTACTTTGTCCTAGTATGTGACTTCTCTATTATATCCAGAACCACTTCAATAACTGAACCTAGAACCTTCAGATCACATGACAAGCGCCTAAACATCAGATCACTTAGTTGACGTTCGATATATTATGTTCTTAATTTTTATTAGTTAGAGAAGTTGAGTAACTAGGTCATGAATTTGATACTTTATGAGGTCGTGGACATACACTACTGAAAAATACCATACTTGAATGAAGTAGGTGTCTAATGCATTCTACTTTTTAATGTTTAGTTGACCAGAGCTAGTCCATGACTTAATACTTTATATTCAACAATCTCTGCAATATCCTATAATAAAAAGTATCAAGAAGCTTTCAAGAAGAAGTTTGACACAAAACTCAACTACATTACAAAATAGCTCATCATCAAGTCGATAATTTTAGTTATCATTCCTTGTAGATAAGTAAATGTTCAGTTTCCTTGATTAATTATGTGTCACCCGGTAGCTAAAAGGTTTTCTTTGGTTTAAAAAGTCTATTGGTTTCATTATCACAAGGAGTTGTTCTTTCTGTAACCATTTCAGTCACTTATGAACATAAATGTGTTAACACAACTTTTCATAATATAATCGTAAAATGAAATTAAATTAAACAGATGAATCAAATGAATGTAGTAACAATGATAGCCAGAAATAGTGAGCATCAAGAATATGACTTGAAATGACATGAAGAAGCATATGTATAGAAGAATATTGTAATTGAAGATCTATAAGAAGATAAGGAGCAAATAGAGCTACAGCGTTGTGAACGATTCTGAATGATGTCACCTAACGTTTCCAATCACTGTTCGACATTGTTACATGGACTTAAATCACGTAGTTTTCACCAAGAAACATGTCTCAGACCAACAGTAGTTAACCTTATTGACCGATCTAAAGTTTCACGTCCTATTCAACTGGTGTTCTAGGAACTACATATGTACAAGGGACTGAAAGTCAAACCAGCCTATAGTTACACTTCAATGAAATATTCTAATGTTTAAGTGTTCTAGGCAACTATTTTGTTCCATTTTAAACTCTTCATCAGTAAACATGTAGGCCACGTAAAATGAAACATTTCAAAATATCACGTGACCATCATCTAGTTCCATCCATCCATCCATTCATAACGTGAGTTACATTCAAATGAACAATCTCCAATAACATTCTACTCTGATGATATCATTTCATGTAATAAGATTGATTTTTTGTGTATCACTTGCAGTAATTAAGGAAATCGGTCTACAACCGAATATCATATGTACTAACTTAAGGAGATCTGTATTCAATGATTAACAATTATGTATGATATCAAATTCAAATTACATTATCTGAGAGCACACTAAAGAATTCTCCAAGTAACAAGCTCATAATTTCAAGATTTCCCAACAAGTATGATACTACTGAAAACGTCCAAATGTACACAATTTAGCTATCTATTACTTTACAGATTCAATAGATCAGTAATTGACCCTACATAGTGATTAAATTTATTTATTTAACAGAGCTGAGCATAAATATTATCACCTGTACCATGGATTACAAGGACTTCCATAAGTATCAAATGAAACAAACAAGCTTGAACGAATACAATTTAAAGCGATAGCAACCAAAAGACCCCAATAACCGAAAACTTCACGAACAATCCAACATTCTAAACTGCATGCACAAAGTTCAATTGTAGCCACAGCATCTAATATGGCTAACAATAACTTTGGCTTTGAATAAAGATGATTGTATATTGAATTTCTGAAATTTACAAATGGAGACTTATCAAGCAGCTTCGATATTACATCAAAGTTAATGAAACTCTTTATGGATTCCTGAGTTGTTTGAGAAGAAGTGACAGAATTGAATAACTGAAATAGAAACATAAAAGTCAGTAGTAATTAATTTTATTTCATTGTTAAGTATGTATAAACATCAGATGATTCTAAATAGTAAAATATATTTATTTCAATAGTATGGTGGTGTACCAAGCTACATATTTCATAAAGCAACTTAATGCATGTCAAAGGATGTTGGATCGAGACATATACAACTTCACTGGTATGAATTCTAGAAAAAAATACATTGAGTCGTTAAATATGATCAGCACTGATCACTTGAGTTTCATAAAGGACGAATTGAAACCTGAAAATGTCAACGTCTCATATTAAAAGATCAGATTTAAATGATTCACTCATTGTTCAAGATGTATCTTATACAATCAAGAACAATTTATATGTGCAAACTGCACATAATCATGTAAACAGACTTATCAGATAAACAGATAGATAGATTTTATTTTATTTTATTTTAACACATAGATATTGGTACAAGGAGGCACCAAAACATATGCACCACACAAATCTCATTCGATATGTGTGAGGGCTGTGATACTACCCAGGTGCCCAAACCGAAGCAGGTGGTTTTCTTAGGGGGCCACTCCCCGAGCCTTCGACCTGAAGGTCTGATCCACAATGCAGTGGAGCATCGTAAGGAGATGCAGTCCCATGGAAGCCAGTGACCAACTATTGGTTCATACGCCATTTGTTCCCGCAGGATACTGGAGCTCATGTGCACCATTGGTTTGGAATCCGATTAAAGCGCCGGACATTCGCTTTCGCTTTTCGTCCTCTCATTTTCGTAAACAACACCCTCGTGGTGTGAGAAGGCAGTGAGTATGACTTCCCTGGCAGAGGCTATGTACGCGTGGCCATGTGAGAGCATTTCGAGAGGGAGAGCGGACTCTCTCCACTCTCGGCCATACCAGGGCATTTGGGGGCAGATAGACAGATAACATATTACAAAGGCCATAACATAACCATGAATGGTATTGGCGTGAATAAGAATATCAGTGGATACTGTGAGACTATAATTTATGGACGACCTTTGAAGTGACCTTGAGAGTGAACAACTACTAAGTGAGACTAAATGAGGGTTATAAAGCAGTTAGAATCCCCATTTACAGTTGATAGTTAGGGTTCAAAATTCGATTTAAGAGTTTTCATCATGAACTGGCATCAGCTATAATGCCGAAACTCTATTTAGCCAAATGTATGGGTGAATTCCGCGCCCAACTTCGTGATTCCTTATCTGATATCTGATTGGTTCGTCCATAAATTATAGTCTCGCCGTGGATATAACCAAATTTTTTTTAACACAAATTACAGAATCACTTTGTAAAATCTGAGAATCATTTTACTTGCAAAGTTTCAATCAGTAGTCTCAGACTTGATTGTTCCTTCGTTTTCACATCAATCATTCTCTGTTTTCCTCCTCTTTTCTTCGATCTTCATCTTCTCTACCACCAGACATTTAACTTTCGATTTATGATATATACTACTTATATCTGTCGACACAAGTAGCACATATCAAAGTATTATAAATTGCTAATATGATGCTTAATAACAGTATATTTTCTGAAATCAATCATATGATCATGTTCAAAAAATAGGAGATGTATACTTAATCACTGTGTGATTTTAACAGATAAACTTTAGAGTATATTATCACTCGAATAACAAGTGGTTATTTTTATGAATTCAGAGAATCAAACAAATACATTTGCCTCTTTTGTTCATGACTCGTAAACAACTAAGCAAAAGTTATTATTCAACTGAATTCAAAGAAATATAACTTAATGAGGAGAAATGATACTAGATGTATCAGGGTCAACAAGACTAGATTTACATTATGCAACTTATACACTGAAACCATTGATGATAATGACTTGATCATTGTTCCCATCTAAAATGTTACCACATCCGACGCAGTCCAATCATATATGTGGTAGCTCATCTACTTGTTTTTTTTATAGACGAAAGTTCTTACCTTCACAATTTTATATGACGACTTCTTACTTCTTTCATAGTAACCCCAATAAGGTGATCAGCTCATGTGATTGAATGAACATAAATAAACGTACATGCTGTCGTTTATTGAATGACGTGATTTTTTTATAGAGATGTGTCTTACACGAGATAAATCTTACATCAGTATATCTGATTTGGCCATAAACCCAATTCGGCTGCTTAACTACAATCAAATCAGTATGTAGGGCAGTTAATGTTCAACTTCTGAGTATCAGGTTTGAATCCATGACAATTAATTGGAATTTAGAGATCTTAGCAATACTACTGGCACTGATCAAACTACAGTGTCATTCAAAATTGTATACAATAATTTTTACTTCTTAAATTAGTGAACAAATGATCTCAGGGCGAGACCAAATTATATAAATGAACCAATCAGATTGAGGATAACAGGTCTCGGATTTTCGCGTGAAATTCATTCCCTCATTTGGCTAAATAGAGTCTTGACATTATAGGTGATGTCAGTTCGTGATGAAAACCCTAAATCTAATTCCTTACACTAACCATCAACTATGAATCATAATCCTTATTCTTCAAACTGCTTTATGACCCTCATTTAGGGTAGACACCTTTAAGGTCACTTTAGTGTCACTCAAAGGTCATCCATGAATTACAGTCTCACCGAAGGAAGTTTATTTTATTTGTTTTAAATGTGAAATCGTAAAACAAGAACCATTTTTTAAAATAATAATATGTCATTAAATAATACTAATATGTGTCAAGTTACCGAAACTAATACATTTCTTATTAACCATGATAACAGAGTGACTATAGTCCAAAATAAAGCTACAAACAGTGTAGTTGCCACAATACTGTTATACATTGATCCTTCCACTTTAATTGACTCATTTGATTTATTCATTAGTGTTATATCTGTCAAGAAATAAAAATTTTAAGGTTAAACAAGATTGTTCCAGTAATAGACATTAATTTAGTGAGCTAAATTAAAATTTCTTCTAAAATAAGAATCTTTATGAGAATAAATCTATAATCAGAATGATGTGTTGTGGAGATTGTAGTTATTTAATAATTGAATTTATGAATCGATTGGGGCTAGACCACCATGGAAAACCTAGAAGCACTGGATGACCATTTCATCCTAGTATGGAACTCTTCATCAGTACGCAGCCACAATCCCGCTCCCCGCGAGATTCCGACCCAAGAACTATCGGTCCCGCGTGCCGACGCTTAACCTCTAGACCACTCGGCCGGTATCCAACGGTGTTAATGTCTAACTTCAACCAATCCACGAAATCGCACTACCGTCCACCATTGTATTAAGTGACTCAATTGACTCATGAATTCAATTATTAAGTTATTACAATCTCCACAAAACCCATCTCTGATTATAATCATCATATGCTCACTAGTGACTGTCTTCAAGAGTTATTTCTTGGAGTTCTAGTGAGAAGCTGTGACCAGTGGAGTTCAGTCAGGTCTGTTGTGAGGTAGTAATTCACTTGAGACAATGGTGGATGGTAGTGCGATTTCGTGAATTGGTTAAAGTTAGACATCAATACCGTTGGATGCCGACTCATTGGTCTTAGAGGAAGAGCGTTAACACGCGAAACTGGAGGTCCTGTGTTCGAGTCCCCCTTGAAGGGTCGTGAATGCGCACTGATGAAGATTTCCATACTGGGACGAAACGGCCACCCAGTGCTTTCAGGTTTTCCATCGTGGTCTAGCTTAAATTGACTCATGAGTTGAATTATTAAATAAATCTATGAGTTAGTGACTTTTTGTTTCATATAGTTGTTCAAAAAGAAGTTATCATCCACTAAACCACTAACTATAAACTTTCTGAGGTAAAAAATGTTTAGTATTTCTTGGAGATACCGATTATTCCTCAGATTTGTTATTGTTTACACCAATTTCTATGGAGCTTTAGTCATATAGCACAAATTCGGACTACATAACTGTTAAATCCACATTGCTTATTACATTTAATTGAAAAACGGGCAACCATTACAATCTCCACGACACAAAGTATAGACAAAAAGACCGGTACATGTGAAGATTTATTTCGCTTCAGAACATGAAGACGATCTTAGTCGAAACTACATTCATTTAAATATTGATTTCTACAATCGTTTGGATGATAATAATAAAAAAATGCACAGATTTATAACAAATCATGTGTTGTATATCACGTTAATTTAATACAAAGAATATCTTATCCTTAATAAACATCACATTAATATAAATCAATGTAATATTCTTGTGTTGTTCATTTGTACCATTTAAACTTGGATTAATTTTGATTTGGTTATTTATTCATTCTCTGAAGAAGTAGCACACACTGAGTTACGAAACATCAAAGATATTACAAATATGTTATCTTATTTATATCAACTTATCCAATTCTCATTTTACTCGAACTTATCAAGTTAAACCATGGTAATGATATCCACAACAACAATATAATAATGATTCAAATAGTACAATGAAAAATCAAACCGATATTACATTAAATAATCATCATATTGAATTAGAAAAGAAAGAAAATAGAATTAATGTTGAACAAGTAATTTATGAACTAACCATTCAGATTTACGATAACAGGTCTCGGATTTTGGCGCAAAATTCACTCATCCATTTGGATAAATAGAGTTCTGGCATTATAACTGATGTCAGTTCGTGATGAAAACCCTCAAATGTAATTTCTAACCTTAACCATCAACTGTAAATCATAATTCTAATCCCTCACACCTGTTTATAACCTTCATTTGTCCCTAGTTGTTAAGTGGACACCCTCAAGGTCAATGTGGTGTTGCTCAAAGGTCGTCCATAAATTATAGTCTCACTCTTAATTTTTTACCTTACAATATTATGAAACCAATATCATTTTCATCGATTGCATTAATGATATATTATAATAATTTACCTTGAACTTATAAATTAGATTCAGATTTATACTAATCGGTTTGTAGGTTTTATCTGAATAAATGAACTAGGTCTTGTAATAATAAACAAATAAATATACTAATAATATAAATGTGAAGAAAACTTTTTTAAATTTCACTAGTCTGATATATCTTGGCAAATGTTATAATTCAACAAAAAAAGGAGTAAAGTTGTCATAGGTTTCTATTTAAAACATTAAGCATCATAAAATTATTTTCATTTTAGTGGATTTAAGTTAATTAATATAACTGTATATAAGATATTATTGTCGATCTTTATTAGCTTATGCTCTATAATCATTTAGCTACTAACATAGTCTTTAATCTTGGATCTATTCTTAAAGAATTTTTCAACACTCAAAGAGAACATTTTCACATGAATTTAAGAAAGCTAACAAGTGAAAACAAACAACGATGGACACTTTTATAACTTTATTTCATTAATTTGAGCACCGATATTCACTAAAAAACTATTTTTAGGCTGCCTCTTGGTTTTTCTGTACACCTTTTGTATGTAAAAGTAATTACCAAGGATAAAAAGCACATTTTACATACACTGCTTACTGTTCTCACTATATTAGCGGCCACATCAAAAGATTATTAATACAGTTGTTGTATACATTTATAAATTGTATCGCTCATTTCCTCACACTCGTTGAAAATAACGCCTACTGCTTATTAAAAACTTTGGCATTTCCAGAAAAACTCATTTCGCTCGCTTATGCAACTCCCAAGGAACTACCATTCAATCATCTTAAGTGAACTAGTTTCTGATGTCGCGAAAGAGCAAACCCTCATAAAATAACTAGTCAGAATAATCAGAAGGTTAGGGAATTCATCCTTTAATTGCAAAAACAAGCTGCAAAGTGCACTTTTGTTGGTCAACTTTATGTGTAGCTGTGAGATTGATTTTTTGCAGGAATTAATATATCAGATCTGGAGAGGGGGTTGTTAAAAATGCCAAAGTGTTCTTTTCAAGATGCCATAACTGCACGTATCAACTGTGAGGCGGTGAATGAACTCGGGTTTTAGTCGGTAAAAATTTTTAACATCTTGCCTAGTCGTCATGATGAAATTCGCTCTCAGGGTTGATTAAAATCGCATTTGTTTAATAATAATTTCTATTTCCGTATTATTATGAAAGGTGATTCATTATACAATTGCAAAGCAAATCACAAAGGTCAGCACAAGTTTAATTCACGTTTATTCTTTGGTCAATATCACTAACGTAATTTGTGTGTCTTTTATCGTGCTAAATGCTTTAAGTGTGATATAATGGAGCACATTCAGTCGATCTGCAAAACTACTGTTTCTTTCGCCGCTAGTAATACTGGACGTTGTGATTCGAATCCTATTGATTTAAGTGATTTCAATGATCATGTGTTGTCCCTATTTGCAACTTAAAATTATTCACTTCATACTTAAAAACGATCATATCTATCTAGTGGTGCCTTTCATGATTTTGCTGTTGACACTGGCAGTATCAATTACATCATTTCGATTGAGAAATTGAGATAATTAAATCCTAATGCAAGAATTATACCTACCAAAAGTTCCGTTTCAAATATTACTGGTTATTAGCTTTTTATTCTATAATGTTGTAATCTGTTTATTAAAAATGAAAAATCTTTAACTATAAGTTGTAATTTTCTTATTACTGAGCGTGGACTGTCAACATTACGTCTAGAAAATTTAAGAATGCTTAAGGCTCGACTCTCTTAATTGACCTCTAGAAATGGTTTTAATTATGTCCTTGATAACTTGCAAATTACGGAATTAGAGTGCGGAAAATTACGCATGACTCCAGAGCCCCATCATGCTCATATGCAAGCCAGAAATTTCAAAACCCTGAAAACAAAAGTCAGTGCTACTATTGCTTCAATAATAAAAGACCCAGATAGAAGAGAAAAAATAGGTCCTCAATGCTAAGTTACTATATCGAACGTAAAAAACAATAATAAAGTTACTTAAACAAAAGGTTCTTCGTAAAAGAACTACTTTTCCATTATCCATGGAAGGTCTACTGAAACAGATCCATAAATCTGTGGATCACATGGGAGATGGTCACAACAACTGAGTGCATTATAAGGATCAAGGTGTGTTTGTTTCAACTTCATTTTTAAAATTTAATACTAATGAGCATGTTATAGATCAGAGAGAGTCTGTGTACAATACACAGTCTGACGGACTTACAATGATTCTAAGAAGATGTTCAATCGATTACAGAAACTTAGATTTCACTTTAAGCTGTGGCGGCTGTGGTGTTTGCATGAACTAATGATTCTCTCGTACTTGATGTTTATCTGGTTTAGAATTCCAAATACAATACGTTTGTTTGTGCTCGCCTAGTTCATCTTGGCTTAAATTGAGCTATCCCGGGAATTCCTACCTCGTATATTAGTTCGAATACTTCCAATTATCATACAGCACTATCGATATACGTTTAAAAAGGGAGACTGGACTTTTGCTGCAGAAAAACTGCAAGAATTAACATAGATCCACCTACTTAATATTATTATTACTGAAACTGTTACTAAAATGTATGAATTTATTTGTTCCATCACAGTTATGTGCCTTATTAACCAAACGAATACCAAAATGAATCAAATATATTATAATATAGCCGTCACACAATGCAGAAGGCCTTAAAACCGTCATTACACCCTATAATTTTAAGTCAGTTGTTCACGTTATATAGTATGAAGAATAATGTCAATGCACGGAACAAAAAAGGCCTAATCTGTGGCGGAAATGTAAAAAGGTTCTTAGAACATCACCATATATGGGTAAATAAAGCTTCTAAGAGGGTATAAAACATACTTGAGTTCACACTCGGAAACAGATACGTTCTAATGAAAATATATGAGCTGTGCTGCAAATAGGTGGCCTTGAAACAAAATAATCACTGGTATAAAAAAAGGGTTTTAGAACAAGTATATGGTATTTTGATCGATCTATGAAATATACATAAATTATGAATTGAAAATCTTTTTGAACAAAGTAAAACTAATAAATGAGATAAGGACTTAACGATAAATCTGAGCGTGGGTGGAATCCTGGGAAACTATTATTTAAATAAATATGAATCTGTTAAGCTGACTGAGTTTGGGTTAAGGAGTTGGAATATGCATAGATACATGTATTATATCACATTGTTGGATGGCTCGTACTAGGAGAATACACAGTTTTCTAAGCTTATATATGAAAGCGATAGAATCAATGACGAGAGCTGGGGGATAAAAGTTTACAAATTTTCCCGGAAGTCAAGGAATTTTAAAGTTTAAGTATTCGAGTGCATTTTATGTGGGACAGGTCTTCCGAAGTTCAGCAGAAGTGTTTCTGTTCGTTGCAGAGGATTTACAGATCAATATGAGATATTCAACTCACGGTAGAATCGTTTATCATACCATTATGCCGCAGATGGTCAACCGTCTTTATAAACCAAACATTGGCCGCTATTAGCCTATCTATTTCACAGAATCAAAACCAGATACAACTGAATGTGGCAGAAGACTGAGTGTAGTTATGCTTAGAAATATAAGTTGTATTCGCTTTATCTATATAATCTATAATGGTTGAAACTTTACCCGGTAGCGTATCCATCTTATCAGGCATTCATTTATTGTGGGCAAGCAATGTGCTAATTGTATTGTCGAATGATTGGATAAGACAATTACAACTTGCAGTAGACTTTGGAAATATACATTTATGAATGATTACAGATTGTTTACTAATGAACAATTACTCTCCATTGTTACGATCAGTTCCAGAAAGGGATTAGGAGTGATTTGAGACAACTCATTAAGCTAGTTTTTTAAAGATTGATAGATTGGGAACGCTTCAACATACTCACTGGTGTGTGGCAGTGATAGTGTATGCGATTGGTCACTGACTACGGACAAATAGGCACTTAACCAACTATTAAGTGTGATATCCATTCATTTCATTGATTACTACTACGGATTCACTGAGAATAACTGCTTGCACTTCCGTGAAATAAGATATTTCCTGCAGTTGTTTCGGCTTTTCATTCTTGGTTAAGAACGGTTCATCTGACATCGTGACCTACTCTGTGTATAACATATTGATCAGCTGTCCAATCAATCGGTATTGTAAACCAGGTCACCTAGACTAGACTTATTATAAAAGTACTGTGGTAGATTGACCACACTACATAGAGAGCGGGATATTTTAAATCACGTTTCATCTCTTATCCTTGATAAATCATTTGTGGCCAGCCCATTTGCATCAAAACCATGTCACACGTCTTTAGTTAAGTGGGATGTTTGGCATGGTTCGTCGGAAATAAAGAGGAAAGGCTTGCCAGATTGTTAATAAGTAGAAACATTAACAGAATTCTGGAGGAAAAAGTTTCAGATGTTTCGTATCCTTTAAAATGTTACGTTTCCCGTACAGCATTCTACACATCAAGTTCTTTGCCGTAAATACAAGAGAGAGATTCAGTACTTGTCAAATGCTACAGGAAGTACAAGTCCAGTTCTTTGCTTTCTGGTACATACCATGTTAAGTCTGTGAGGACATTTGTAGTGCCTGGTACTATGTCAATCACATATTGGTTATTCTAGCTTCTGGACAGACCAATTAGCTCTTCGCTTATTAACCCTGACTTTTTAGGTTATCGTGTGTTGATTGCTAACCTCATTCAGTAGGTGTCTTCAAATTATTTTCGTCCGAATATAAATATCGACTCACGCTTGATCAAAACGATTTGGCGTACACACCTTCTTCTCTGCTCGGCACTTCCTTTCATTTCTTTTCGCTTAGTATCCTTCACGTTGTTTCCCTGAATATTCTTTTGAATCAATGAGTGCATGAAATGAACGTTTTCAAAATTCATTCTCGTATTTGATTTATTTCATCCCTTTAAACTCTATTAACAATGATATATGAGGGTTTGTGACATGTGTGTTTCGATAACAATCAGTTTACAATTTAACTGGAGTCAGACACAGGGTTACTAAAAGTTTAGCAAACATCACAGCTGAACGTCTCTAAACCCTAACTGAAGGATGTAAGATTCTTTTAAGTTTGAGTCTACATGTAAATGAGTACTTCTTCGTGAAAATCATTATGTACCAATTTTATATCGCAGAAAACCCTGATCTTTTCTTCGGATTCATAGTGGTTACTTTTGAAACTTTCATCAACATGTTTCATTTCCTTTTCGATCACAAATGAAATTATTATCACTGAGTTCAGTTGAAATCTTTATTTTAGAAAATGCCCCTATCGCAAGGGTCTAGTGAATCTTACCAATGTTGTCTTAATTTTTCTTCAAATTAGTCTACTGCCAAATTCCTTGTCTAGTTTTGAATTGTTGCTGCTCAAGACCATTGAACTCAATCACTGTTTTCAATTGAAAGTAGTCTGTCCAGATTATTGGAAGTGTCCTATTTTGCTAATGAACTGATTAACTAACAATGCTTAAGGTTAAAGTTATTTGACGTTTGCTTTTGAGTGTTCTTATCCAACAGCGTTACATTTGTAATTTATCTAGCATTCATTCACCCACTGATATCATGTTACCTTTCATTTGTAGAGTGGTGTCGAGTCGAGATTGACCATGAACATCACTACAAAGGAACGCGTGTCAGGATATCCATAAAATTCACCAGAAGCCAAATATAAGAAGGCAGTTAATGGACCAAGTCGAGATATATTTGCTGGCGATCTCGTGGTATCGAAAGAATACAGAGATCGTGCCGGGATACAAGCTTGGTTACTTTGCGTAACCGAATTAGCGCAAGGTCGCATTCGAAGTAAGTATAATGGATGCTTTTAGCACAGTTAAACAAAAGAGCACATTAAAACAGTCACTGGTACAATTGGTTATAATAATAATTGTGTTCATTAAAACAATCGTTTTCTTGTGATAAAAGCAAGTCACTACACATTAACGACTCTATCGGTTGCAAGACCTGATGATTTTATTCGATTAGCTTTATGTAACACGCTGTCATGCAAATATATTGTCTCTAATATGACATTTCTCAGTTCTTTTATCGGTTTAATATGGCGATACAAAGTAGAAGTTTCTATATCATTTCCAATTGTCCGATCAAAAACAATTGATATGGGGTTTTTTATTTCACATAATCGTTTGCTCTACACTATATCTAATTCGAATTAATATTCTCTATCATTAGAAACATTTCCAAACTAAACACCGCGTTTTGAATAATTTTATCGGAAAAAAAGTGTCTGACGTCAAACTGTGGACTATGCAGTACCTAATTATTACCAATCAGGAAGTTACATTGAGTTTTAAGGTTCATATCTTTTGGATTGTTGAGTCTCCAAACAAGCAGACATCGTCGGTCTTTGCACTATAAATGTATAGATTCTATCTGCTAACGTAACGTAGTTGTTCCACTGCGTTGTGCTGAAATGAATTAGAAACTGACTTATAAATGTTGTGGCTGCTTGGGGGGCAATAGTCGTATGAGTTTACTTCGTGGAACGTCTGCTAATCGGCGAGCTTCAGTCTGATTGAACGATAATAATGTAGATGGAATTTATATCAGACCCAAATTCTCGTGCATTGTGTCGACGGGCCACTTTACTACAACGTATGTATAAAACGTCTACTAAACGGGATATCTGTGCCAATTCGGGTGACAGGCGTAAAGCTACCAGTAAACGCTTAATCAATCCAGTGTGTTGAAACCTTCGAGCAAAAATATGTATTTCGAATTACAAATAAGTGGAATCATAAAACAACCAATTTTTTGAGAAACTATGACTACGGTTAAACTGTGGTGCTTCCAGCTTAAATAAATTCACTGTGACCAAAAAATCCGTTTCCCTATAATCCCAAGAAGCAGTTTCAAACTATTTCGTGTGGTAAGATTAAATAACAATAGATGTAAAGGTAAAAGGTCTCACAGATGTCTATCTACTTAAGGTGTCAAGAAAATCTCAACATCTTGCGATAGAAATTTGAAAATACCGCCCGGATTGTATGAGGCCACTTAAATCACTTGCGTTTGTTTCTTTCCATTTTATTGCCGTATACGCATTGACTGATTATTTCTTTGTTGTTGACTACACGCTTCTTAAGAATTCCAAAAAATAATACGTCCGATTGTGTCTTTCTAGTCTTAACTGCCTTAAGTTCCACTATTTCGGGAATTCTTGAACGGCAAATCAGTTTTTTTTTCTGCTTCCAGTCTAAACGTTTACTCCAATCCACTGATGTGCAAAAATGAAGAGTATTAAGACTTAAAGTGAAGCAAAGATTTGAAGCTACTCACTAGCGACCACGTCATTATTATTATTACTGATAAAATAAATTTGTGGAAATCATAGGATTTTCACAGTTTAAATCATGAAATAGTTTTATCCGGGCTATATTTAAACGCCAAGAAACCTTGAAAACCCGTTTAACCTTGTTACTACACTATTTGTGTTAAATCTATCGAAGCGTCCATATCACCCAACTGAGATACACCTAAAATCAAAGTTCACAATGCAACGATTTGTGTAAAATATCGGTCGTTTATTAAATAATATACAAAAATTAGTAACGAATCACAACTTTTGAGGCGTCTGTGAAATTTTCTGCGTCTTTTTCTCTGAAATAAACAGGCTTCCATAGTGCAAAATGACAACCGTTGGCTGTGTTGAAACTTCATAACGGTCTATCAACAATCAAAAATCGAACCAAGAGCAAACAATATGGAAACTGTTGGATTTAAACAAAGGTTGAACAAATGCACAGAATTGCGAATAACTGCTACAATGATTGAGATAAGGTAACTCTAATGATAAATACAATATATATTATAAGTATAGGTAAATATTTCAGAATATTACATGACAATCGTGAACAAATTACTAGGAATACAACTATTTACTGAGTACTATTA